CCCCAAAACCCCAAAACCCCAAAACCCCTAACTTAAGTAGAATTATTGAATTTTATTTGATATTTATCTTATTTTGGGTATTTCTAGAAGGATCATGAAGGGAGACTTGCCTATTCAACACGTTCTCAGTATACATATTGTTAAAGGCATAAATGTTCCTGGTCTGTAGCCTCATCGGGGTCAACTTATCCTTCTCAATTGACGAGAAAACTGGAGCTTTAATTTCGAATAATTTTGTTCTTGGGTGAAGCTTCTTTTTAAAGTGCTTATTTCAAATCTACAAGCTTTATTAGAGTATAAATCATACCTTGTAGATGTGAAAGAGTACTATCTCTACAGATATAGTCTCACCAATTTTGTAACTTTAGCTTTGACCTGGTCGGACTACTTCCTATAAATTAATGATTTTCATCTACTTTGAGTGAAATATTTCAACTTTGGGATATTTTCGACCCTCGAAACAGAATGAGGCTCATTTTTTATGAAATTTTCGCCTCATGTTCCAATATTTTCTGCCTTCTGTTTATAAATAGAGGTACTGTGAGGGGCTTGAAGCTCTCTTGTGTAACATTTTGGATCTTTATCAGGTGAAGCTAGAAATAAATATATGAACTGTTACTATTTATGTAATATTTTCTCTGTTTAGCACCACTATTAAGCTTTAATTCATCCCATATATCTTTATTCATTTGCCTAGTATGTTTATTTGCTCGTTGTTTTGTGTCCTATCGGTTACACATGAGGAATACCCAGAGAGGAATGGTATGACTTCATAGTCTAGATATTACCCTAAATTCTCACTCTGACATCTTTCTCGCTTCGAAAAGCTGGAAAGTTGTTTAAGCACCCTTTCAAGGCTATAAGATTATGCCCAAAAACACTTGCTGCCAAGATTGCACTTTGCTATCCTTCTCGAATTGAAAACAGAGTAAGGCTTACTAGCTGAGAGCATCTTTTTGTAGCTCTCTATGGACTTATTTCGCTCCAATTGTAGCCTTTTTGATATGAACATCTCTATTTTTAGACTTTAGCTTGTCATTTGCTACAATGAATTCTTCAGGATTTCGTTCAGGAAGTTTTCTTTTTCTCCCTCAATTCCTGATTCAATTCTAAAATTTGTACCCTTAATCTTACCATGGTGCCATGAACTTTAGGCATTTTCTTTTTGAATATAATCGGACTTTTTAGGTCCTTTCTTTGTCAAAATAGATGATTTGGGGGAGAACTGGTTGTCTATATCACTATTAATTCTCTCTCTTCAAGCAGGAGGACTAATGTAAATGCTCTTGGAGAGTTAAATCCATATTACTGAGAGCAAACTTATAAGGCTGAATACGAGTCATAGACATTAGTCTGTCAATTAAAGATTATATTTAATTTGTTATCTTGCCAAATCGGGGTTTTGGGGTTTTGGGGTTTTGGGGTTTTGGGGTTTTGGGGTTTTGGGG